AACAAGATGCTCTGAAGTGCTTAAGCTCAGTGATTTATGTACCTGTAGGATATAAAACCCAGAGTGGACTGCTTTCAGGGTCCCTCAGCAGTGGCGTGAAGTTGGGGATATACAGGTGAGATTCCACCTGCCCTGGGCAGCTTTCTTGAGTTTTGGGGGACCAGCTCACTAAGGATTCTAGGCTTCTGTCTATCTTTGCTACCTATCTGTAAGTAATAAGTCAGCTTTGCCTGACTTGTGCAGGTGTTCTGTCATACCAGACTCAGACTCTGGCAGCTGGGTTTGTGCAAAACATTCAGAAGCTGGGTTTGTGTAAAGACTCCTGCCAGACCTAGCACCCACCAGATACAGGAATCTTCACAAAAATTGGCAAGGTGTTTAGAGTCCTTCCCTGGTAACCAGTGTAACCAGTGTATGGTGTCCCCCTCATAAGGACTGATATCAGTGCATGGTGTTCTACTTCACAATTATGAATATATGTGGATTTTTCTAATATCTATTTTTTGTTTTCTGTGTCTTGCTTTATCTATGCTATTTTTCTTGTTTCTCAAAAATCCAATTAATTTTTTTCCTTCCTAGGGATTTGGGCATTATATTTTTAGCTTTTTAGTGGTTACAACCCTTGATATTTTTCTAGATGTACTTAACAAGATCTAAATTAGCCCTTAAGTTTCCCAACCCCTGAACAAATATGAGCCTCAGAACATTTTAACTGAGTCCTTTATTTACATATCATCATTTTTAGCCAGTTAGTATGTTCCTTTAAAACAAACACATAAATAGATAGTATTCTTTTATAGAGAAAAGACATGTTTAGATTTATCTTGATGGTCACCACTTACTTACTCACTGTTTCTTCTTGTTTCCAGATTTCCCTTTGGTATCATTCTCTTTCTATCTGACATATACTTTTTAGAGGTTCTTCAGAAAATAACTGTTGGTAAGCTCTCAATTTCTGTAATCTGAAACATTGCTATTTTGCATTCAGTCTTGAAAATCAGTTTTGCTGGATTCGAAATTCTAAGTTGGCAATTATTTCCCCCCTGCACTTTCTAGATATTAGACGACTATTTTCTAATCTCCATAGATATTAAGAAGTCTGTTATAATTCCACAATTGTAGGTCATCTATAATTTTTCTCTGACTACTTTTAAGAGCTGCTTAGTGTTGCTACTGTAGTTTTACCTTGAAATTTGCTTTCCTGCCTGATAGTTTACATTGCACTTCAGTGTTTTGGGATTCCAGTATTTCACTAGTTTTAGAAAATCCTTGATCTCTTTAAAATTTGCCTTTTCACCATTCTTTTCTTTTGGAACTTCAATTATTTGTATGTTAGAGTTGTTCATTTTAACCTTTAGTTCTGTTAACCACTCTTTTATGTTTTCTATCCATTTATCTCTTTTTCTGCATTTAGGTAATCTTTGTAGCTTCTTTTAGAATTCAGTAATTTTCTCCAATCTGCTGTTAAACTCACCAAATTAGGTTTGTTTCTGACAATTTTTTAATTTCTGAAAGTTCTATTTTTCACCATGCCTCTGTCTTTATAGTATCTTATTGCTTATTTATTTTTTGCAAATCTATTTTTTAATTCTTTAGATATTTAATATATCATTATCCTATATTTGACAGTTCTGTTCTTCAAAGTGTCAGGTTTTGTTTCCACTGATTCTGACCTATGGTTTATTGATTGTAAATATTAAGCTTCTTATTTGGTTGGTCTGAACTAAGGTTGTTTTTCTTCGGAAAGGACTTGAATTTGCTTCTGCCAGGAGCCAAGGAGAACTTTTATTTTATTTTATTTTTTATTTGTGTGTGTGTGTTCCCATTTATTTTCTGTCCTGGTGATTTCCCTTACTTCCTGCAAATTTAGTATTGCCTTAAAAAGTATGTCTTTTGTTTAACAAACTAATTGTTTTTTAAGCAGGAAGATCTTTGAGGAAGTTAAAAGCCCAAAGGAATTTTCTAGTTGAGAAAGTTTTAAATGTTGGCTAAAATTATATTTTTAAGACTAAACTTTACATATATGAAAATTATAGAAATAAGCTAGGTTTCTGGTCCAATAAATGAATCAGCACTCAATCAGCAAGAGCGGTGATTATTCACTTGATGGGAGGATTGGCAGTGGAGGTTTTTGGTTGACTACTGCATCAAAGGTTCCTTTGTGACTGTTCATTTCTGAACAGAGAAAACAAAAATGAAGCCAAGGCATTTCTGAGTAACTATTAGAGATGACACCGAACTAAGACAAAATATCTAGAATTATTAAAGAGACTGGTGGGAGAAAACAGAATTTAACTAAACAAAAATCTACTTCACACTTCCCAGGAAATACAATTTGGTATAGTTCAACCTGGACAAAAAAACGGTTATAATCAAATTTTGCTTTTGCTTTTTAAACCCTGTCAGTTTTTCTGGTCTGGTCCCTTTTCATTTTCTCCAACAATTATTTTTAATCTTTTTGTCCCTCTTCAGTCCTCAGAGCCAAACCTTCCTCCTCCCCTGTTATTCTCAGCAGAAGGCATTGATCGCTTTTTCACAAACACACACCACCAGCAGGGAACTGTCACAGGCTGTGTCATCACAACCCCTCCCCTCAATACTATGCGCTTCTTTTCCCCTTCTCTCCTAGCTGTAAAGGACAAGCTCCTCCTCCTTCTCCTCTAAAAGCACCTGTACTCTGTACTCCATCTCTTCTCATGTCCTCCAAGACTGTGATTCTCTATCGTTCTCTCTCTCTCTCATCTTCCACCATTGCTTTTCACCTAGTATATTCCCCAGAAGCATTTAAAACATGTTCAAGTCAGAACCATGGGAAAAAATAGCCAAATAAGCAGACCTCCTTCAACCCCTCATATCCCTCCCATTACCAATCCTTTCTCTTTCCCCGGCTTTACAGCGAAATCCCAGAAGAGTTGTCCAGAATTACTGTCTCGATTTCCTTCTTATTCATACTCAGTCTGGATTTTTCCCTCAACATCCCACTGAAATTCTCACCATTAAGTTTTCATGTTTCCAAATCTAGTTGACTTTTATTGGTCTTCACCATACGCGATTTCTTCACAGCATTCAACATGATTTCAAATACAGTGGACACAATACACATACACACACACACCTCTTTAGTCTTTATCTTAAAAATGTCAGCTACAAGAGAGTCAACAATGTTTAGTTGAATGTCACTGTATTTAAAAACCAATGTATTTATTGTAAGACTATTAATATAATAATTATTACTGTTATATGCATGTGTGTGTGTGTGTGTGTGTTTTAGTATAAATTATTTCTACTTTGTGTTTCAGTTTAGACCTTACATTGATTTTAAAAGCTATATGCATAGGCCAGGTGTGGTGGCTCACGCCTGTAATCCCAGCACTTTGGGAGGCCGAGGAGGGTGCGTCACGAGGTCAGGAGTTCGAGACCAGCCTGGGCAACATGGTGAAGCCCCATCTCTACTAAAGACACAAAAATTAGCCAGGTGTGGTGGCGGACACCTGTAATCCCAACTACGAGGGAGGCTGAGTGAGGAGAACCACTTGCACCTGGGAGGTGGAGGTTGCAGTGAGCCAAGGTTGTGCCAATGCACTCTGGCCTGGGAGACAGGGTGAGACTCTGTCTCAAAAAAAATTATATGCATAGGTAGGTTATATTATTTCTGAATTTCATTTCAGATATTAGTAAAGAGATTTTCAAAATATGTGTTAGAAGAAGTCAGTGATGGTCGATAGGACTGAGAATTTCTGCTCTAGTGGAGTCAACTCTCTCTTGGTTGAGACCAGGGAAGTGACCCAGCACTCCAAGAGCCAGCTTCATTGCTTTTAGAAAAGATTCAGCACGTCAAAAGTTGACTAACTTTCCTGGAGTGATATGAGTTATTTTCATTGTTCCTTAGTTCTTACATGGGCTACCTTAGTCGGGGGTATTTTTCATCAATTTGATTACTTCTTTGTAAAGTAAACTCTTCCAGCTTTATGCATGGGAGGACACAGAGTAGAAAAGTAAACCTCCAAGCACAAGATGCTTTTCACCTTGAAAACTGTCATGAATGTACTTCCTGCCATGGTTCTTTCTTTGGAAAATCCTTATCATGCACTCAAAACAGCAGGGCCATCTTTTGGTTATTGTTCCCAAGAAATGGTTTTAGCCACTAGACCACTTTCTGTACTAGGCTTCTTGTCCCCTTGCCCTGTACAGTAAGACAGTCTGGTTGCTTCAGCAGGAAGGCTCGGCTGCATGACAGGTGGGTGGTCTCTGAAGAGAGCGCCTCTGGTTTTCCTGATGGACCCAGGGCCAATGTGCTGCAGCCCCTGTGAAACACACCACGTGTGAGGCTGTGGCTCTAGGAGGGAGTGCTTCTCCCTCTGCCTTTAAGAGAACACAGGGGTCCTAGCAGTGTGCAGATGTGTACCTTGCCGGGGCTGCCAGGGGATGCAGGCTCATGGGGAGGATAGAGGGGGCAGAGTTGTGTGTGCACTGATTAGTATGCCATAGACTACAGCACAGCAGAGGCAAAGACAGCCATCTAAGCTCTTGTTACTCAGAGTATCTGAGGATCATCACCATCCAGGTCACCCAGCAGCTTATTAGTAGTGCACAATCTCAGGCCTCACCCCAGACCATGAATCAGAACCTTTGTTTGAACCACATTACTAGGTGACTCCCAGGCACATTGTAATTCGAGAAGCACTGCTTGCTGCTTTTACCTACACTCAAGCCCTCACCCTTCAGACCAGTCCGGGGAGCCTTCCTTTCACATGCCCTCACCCCCACCCCACACTGTCACCTGGATCTTGCCCATTCCTCCCTGGCATGTCCCTTAGTCCCTTAGGTCTGCATGTCTGCCCCTCCTTGTTGGCCAGCTCTAGCACAAATCACTGTGTTCACCTTGGCAGTCCCAACACCTTGCCCATGCCTGACTGAAAGCTGGCTCCAAGCTGAAGGCTTCTCAGTCCATGAACGAATGGGTACGTGATCTACATGGCAAAAATAAAAGCCTGAAGTTCGCAGAAGGTTAGGTGTTTATTTGCACTGCTTTTTAGACCATCTACCAGGCTAAAAAAAGTACACAGACTCTATCCAAGGCAAAGATATTAGACATGAACCTCAGAACGTGGCATTTGGGATTTCCAGAGCATGTTGTTGAGGCACTTTTGTACCCAGAGGCACATGGAATTTACCAGGCTGTAGGGAGTGATGTGCTCTCAGGGGCTGCTGCTGCCAGTAGCCTGGTGAGGTAGGGAAGAGAGCAGTGGATATACACACTCAGGGCTCAGCATACAGCCTGCCTGTCTATCGTGAGCTGATTGTCCAGCAGGTGGCACCTGTTCCCTTCCACCACCCACCTTGGAATCGCTTCCCTCTTGATGAGCACCTTCAGCCAGAGGTGGGTGGGACAGGGAGGATGTGCACTGGGTTCTGCTCTGTGTCAGCATCTTTGGTATAAGGAGCCATTCCCTGGCCCAGGGCAGGTAGCCAGTACTCACCGTGGTTGGGGATCATTGGTGGGTCTCCATTGCCCATGCTTTCCCTGCCTCTCATTAGTAGGAATCGACAGACCCTCGTTATGCCAAGGCAATGCTAAAATCTCTGCTTCATCTGCCCTCTTCTTGGAGAGGCTCTCTGTGGGCCACAGCTGATGCTCCATCAGTGCCAATTTATGAGACAAGCTTCTGTTGCTCAGCCTTGGTGCGGCAGATGGAAAATACCTGCAGGAAGAGCTTTCCCGGCATGGCCTTCCCTCCATTAGTCATGTGCCTAACGAGCTAACCTTGCAGTAGGCTTCCCCAGCTTTTCACTGACAGACCCTCATGTGCTCCATAGACATGAGCTTGTGAAGCCTCCCTGGGGGGCAGGGGCAGCCTCATTTGTGACAGTCTCTCTGGGAAGCCTTCACTGGCCCTACTCTCTTCCTTCCATCAGAAGATGTGTTTAGGCCCAGGAGACTCACCAAGACCTCACACCCTTTGTGTTCAAAGGTGCTGTTTTTGATGGAAGATCACCTGGTTCTGCAGGGAGGTGGGGCTCAGCTGAGAACACCTGCTTCTCCACAGGGGAAGTAAGCTAGAGTCAGAAGGAAGCAGAGAGGATGGCATGTGACTGGATGGCAGATGCCCTGTGGCTTCAGTGGTGCTCTCTCCTCTTGTGCTTTGGGGCAGCAGCGTTTTAGGTTTGTAGCTTTGGTGGAAAAGTTGCTCCTCACTGTTTTCAAATGTAATGCTCCATGAGGAGGAAGTTGGAGCCAGTGTGGTTTTCTGGGCCCTCTGCCAGAGAACATTTGGAGTCCCCAGTATTTTTCCCCAGGACTGACTTAATGAAGACAGTCCTTCAGGCCAGGCAGGGTCCCTGGAAGGGCTCAACTCTGACGCCCAGGGAGCTTTACTCCCTAGAGTGTTTTCTCTCTCTCTCCTCCTTGGGCTGATTTCTAAAGGGTCTGTTCTAGGCCTTCCTGGGAGACATTCAAACAAAAGATGGGAAGGGTGAGAAGGCACAGTGGTTTAAAGGAAGCTCATCACCAGCTTAAAGGAGGGAAGGAAATTAACACTTGTTCTCAAGCCAGGGTTCACTAATGGCTCTGGCAGGGAGGTGACCTCACTCTCACAGGAGGATCAATTTGCAGGCTCCATGGTGACTTCTGACTTTCAGGGAAAAAGTCTCCCCCACTCAGCAAGGATGAGGTGGAGCAGCTTCAGCCCAACCCCCTCATCCTCCTACCGTGGGAGAAAGGACCAGGCACAGACTCCAGGCTGACTCCCTGCTTTTGCTCCCCCCAGGCCTCCATAGCCCCTGCTCACTGGTGGCTCTTCTGCCCTGTGCATGGCTGCAGGGGTGTGGCTCTGGGCAGAGCTGTTGTCCTCCCTCCTCCTTAGAGCCCCAGCTCTGCAAGAGCCTTGGGGAAGCAGCAAAAGGGGAGTTGCGAGGGTGGGGAATGCAAGGATAAATTGAACCTACCACGACACAAGCCTCTCTGTATAAAAAGTGTGTGTATATCTCTGCAAATGTCACAATAGCATGATCTGCTCTTCTCTTAACTTACGGCACTTGCTTTTAAATCTACACTTTGAAATCTCAGAGATCCAACTTTTTAGCTAGCTACGTATAATTGCAAATCCTGTTATATATGTGGAATATATGTAAATACATATCACACACATTTCACATATGTGTGTATGTCATTCTGCATACATTTGAGTCCCAGGAATTTGGACCTCAAACCTCCTATTTGTACACAGTTATACTGCTTTGCACCACCAAGAAAAGAAAACCAACAGGCTCACGGCACCACCCCTTGTGTACCTAGTGTTCAGAGTCCAGGGCAGGCACCTCACACGTGGCTTGTCTTTTCGGCCAGGGAGTTGTCTGTGGGCAGCGTGAACTTGATGGCACCGTCCCTCTCCCAGCCCCTCCGGATCCTGGCAAGTCTGCGGCTGATGAAGGGCAGGAGAAACAGGGCTTTGGCCAGGATGACGACACAGGGCACCAGCAGTGTGAGTGTGAAGGTGGGAGGCAGGTAGAACTTGTAGCGGCTCTCCTCGAAGGCGCGGGTCCAGCCATAGGTGAGTGTGTGCAGTGTGCTCAGCACCAGGGCCACAAAGCCCAGCGAGGACTGTGGAGGAAAAAGAAGGCTGGAGTGAGGGCGAGGATGACAGATGCAGTGATCCTGCCAACAACTCATCTGCTGGCCTGGCAGAGGGGAAGGAGAGTGGCTTTAATACGGTGATGGGTTGGAACCCCAGCCCTATCATTCTCTTTGTGTGGTCTTAGGATAACTATCTCAACTCTCTGTTCCTCAGCTTCCAGAATAGGAAAATAGGAATAATGCTTCTGTGCTGAAGGTGTCTAAGGACTGACCAATTCATGTGGATTCTGTACAGTAACCATGCTTTTTCCTTAACTTTGTTATTTGTATCTCTGGAGGATGCTGGATGATTTCAGATGTAATTAAGTTCAAAGAAGTTTCAAAAACATTTAAGGCCTGCTGTGGTGGCTCTTGCCTGTAATCCCAACACTTTGGGAGGCTTAGGTGGGCAGACTGCTTGAGCCCAGGGTTTCAAGACCAGCCTGAGCAACATAGTGAGATCCTATTTCTACAAAAAAATTAGCCAGGTTGTGATGGCATGTGCCTGTTGTCCCAGCTACTTGGGAGGCTGAGATGGGAAGATCATTTGAGCCCAAGAGATCAAGGCTGCAGTGAGCCAAGATTGTGCCACTGCACTACTGCACTCCAGACTGGGTGACAGGGCAAGACCCTGTCTCTAAATATATATATATATATACATACACACACACACACACACACATTTATTTATTACTAGTTTAGTGTGTATTTTAATGTATATTAGAATAACAGGTAACTGTCAAAATCATAATTTCACAGATAACATTTGGCCTAAGTTAAGATTAGATAAAAAGTGGATTGATTTTAAATTAGCTTGAAGATAAATGCAGAGTAAATACTTTACAGATGGCACATGGATTTCGCACCAGCAGTGAGGGGGACTCACAGGGCCTGCAGTCTGCGTGAACTGGCACCATATAGAAAGCCCCAGAACACCACACAGATGCTCTCTGTGCACACCAGATCTTCACCTCCTGCCCCAGGCTGGGTTATAAACAACCCAGGTGGAAACCCCGCCAGGCTTCCTCTTCCATCTGGAGGAGATTAGTGACCATGGAGAGAAGATACCATCCCAACTCCAAATGGAAATGGTCCCAGCCCTTTTACAATGAAGCTTCCCACCCCTTGAACCATGTATGGGCTTTTGTGGGTCACTTCCAGCCAAGAGCGGCTCATCCACCACCCAAAGCATAACTTTCTGTGGGCGCTACAATGTGGAAATGGCTGGAAAGTGCTGCTCTGTGTCTTCAGCCTCTTGGCATTTACCAGTTCTTATGGACTATCAGGGAAGAGATCCAGGTTCTACTGTTGGTGCTGGTTCAACCGATATGAACTCTGGGCAAGCCACTTAGTCAACTTCAGGGAGGTAAGCAATTCCCAAAGCTAAAGCTAGAGGTGGGGAGAGTGCTGAGTAGATGCAGCAGCTTCCATCCAGTCCCCTAGACAGGGCAGTCAGTGACACAGCAGAGGGTACCGAGGGCGAGGGAGAAGTGGCACGGGGGGGGCTCTGACTGAATTCTGGAGCACCAGGGAGCCACTGAGAGATTTGGGGCAGGAGAGCCCTTCCATGTCTATTACACAGGGATGGAAATAGCAGTGACCCATCAAGCAATGGACACATAGGCATTTTCTCCAAGGAGACATTGCGAGGGTTTAATTTAAATGTGGCGGCATACTGAGACCTCTGGGTCCTCTGTAGGGATTAAGCCTCCTGGATTCTCTTCTAACCAGCTTGTCAGCGTCAATCCAGAGGCTTGGCTGAGAGACACTGTCTCATTTGCACTCCCCTCAGAAGAGTTTCTAAGTGGGTCTGATTCCATACGGGGCCTCGTTCTTGCTCCTCCCTGGTGTGTGTGTGTGGCCCTTCGTTTGCACCTGTTCCAGGACAGACACCAGGATGGTGAACGTCAGTGAGTGACAGAACATGGTGTGGGAGTATTGCTTGTAATGCTTTTTCCAAACATAATAATAAACATTTTCCAATGGCTGTACACTATAATTTCACGGACAGGTTCTCACATACAACATTCTTGGGCCCAGGTAAAATAACCAAATAAAACCTTCTCTATCCTTCCTCACCCTCTCTGGTTCTTCTTGGCTTTGTGTCCACTTCCGGAATCTTCTTGGCCTGTCTTTAACAACTTCCTGGCTCACCACGAAGCGTGAAGAAGCCATGGTTGGCTTTGTGCTGTCACCCCCGGTTAATTTGTATCATTTTAATGTGGTCACCTCCCAAAGAGAATCCTCCTTGACTGTTAGTCACACGTAAACAAATCCTTGCCATTTCCAGAAGTGTCCATCAAGAATTCCAAATCCCCTGCAACTTCTGAGCCACTCCAACTTTTCTAAATGCTAACCTCTTGGTGTGGAAGACTGTGGTTAAAAAGGTCCCCAGCGCTGACCATCAGGAATAGGTCTTGAAGTCAATCACCCTGTTGTTCCCCAGCCAGGTGCGCAGCCCTATCTAACTGTGGGCCCTCCCACCCCTCCTCCCTGTGGACTTACAGGTGTTGCCAAGATGGCTGGGAAATGCACTTTACCCTGGAGAGTTTATCAGTCTGTGGCTATCAGGCTGTGTTTTTCAAACCTTGCTACACATTAGAATCACCTGGGGAGCTTGGGTAAAATATTAGTGCCCAAGCCCCACTCCCAGAAATTCATATGAAATTGGTTTGGGGCAGGACATGGGCATCTGTTGTTTTTTAAGGTTTGGCAGAGAAGGCTGATGTGCAGCCAGGACTAAGCCCCTCATTCAGGAGACTCTCGTCACCACACCCTGCTAGCTTCAGGTTGAAAAGTCCACATGGGCCCCTCTGCCCAGATCACTTGACTGGGGAGGGTCTGGACCTATCTCTTCCTTAGACAGAACCCCACTGAGAGACTTTGGTGTCCACCTCTGTGTCGTGCGGCTTTCCCAGAAGGTACAGCAGTGGGAGCCCATGCAGACCAGGAAAGCCAGCCTTAGTGGTCCCAGCAAGACCTTCACATCTCCTTCGGGTGACATACCTTGTAGCTCCAGTGGTCTGTGTCAGCCACTGTCTCCGGCCCCTGACCTGGAAAGTGATGAATTTTGCTGGACACTCTGGGCTCTGCTCGGGGATAGTGTGGAGACACTGCTCCCAGGCCCACCAGTGGCAGTCAGCTCCTCCTGTTCATATAGCCTCATGCTTGTTCCATCCAAGATCCCATGGTGCAGACAGCAAGAAGCTCCAGCCTCAGGCTAGTGGTTCATAGCAAGGGCTGATAGTCAAAGGCCAGCCAATAACAAAGGGCCTTTGACTTTCCAGTCCCAGTGGGAAGCCTGCATGATTCCAGAGAGTTTGTTTCCAAAAACTCTCTCTCCTTGGGAACAATTTAAAAATCCCAGAAGCCAAAGAAGCCCACAAGAAGGAGAGGGATTGTCATGAGGCAATTAATAAGACCCCCAAGCTAGGGCCGTTTTTATTACACGTAAGCTTGTTAGTAAAAAAGAAACAGCCAGGTTGTTGTAGCTCCTGCTGGTGCTCAATTACTATGGCACGGATGGGCTCTGGACCATGGCTCACGAAGCTGGGGTCAGGCTGGTCTTGTCATTATTTCAGGCAGGTGGCTGCAGTGGACAAGGTCACAGGCAGTTCCTCTAGCTCTGGGAGAGAACTTAGGTTCTAAAAGCTGAACCCTAATTTTTCTGCACAGGTGAGCTGCTCTGACTGGGGTATTTTGCAATCTAACCTCTAACAATATTTAACTGGCTGAATTGGAACACTATGAACAACCCAAACCAAACCAAAACAGTAACAAAAAATACCCAAAGAAACACAAAACAAAATGTAAAACTTTGAAAACAGCCTTGGGAATGAAAGGATAAATGCATGCACAAGTCACCTCTTTGTGGAATCAACACACCGTTTCAATGGTCTTTAGCTGAACAAAGTGTCTGAGATGCTCATACCAGAGCGACTTCACGCTGAATAGGGGCTGCGTAAAATGAGGCTGAGACCTACTGGGCTGCCTTCCCAGGAGGTTAAACATTGCTAGTCACAGGGTGAGATAAGAGGTCGGCTTCAGATCCCTTGCTGATAAAATAGGTTGCGGCAAAGAAGGCAGCCAAAACGGACCAAAACCAACATGGCAACAAGAGTGACCTCTGGTCATCCTCATTGCTCATTATGCACTAATTATGATGCATTAGCATGCTAAAAGATATTCCCACCAGCGCCATGACAGTTTACAAATGTCATGGCAATGTCAGGAATATACCCTATATGGTCTAAAAAGGTAAGAAACGCTTATTTCTGGGAATTGCCATCACTTTCCTGGAAAACTCATGAATAATCCACCTCTCATTTAGCATATAATCAAGAAGCAACAATAAGTAGAAGCAGCTGAGCAGCCACGCAGTTGCTCTATGGAGTGGCCATTCTTTTATTCCTTTGTTTTCTTAATAAACTTGCTTTCACTTTATGGAGAGTATGGAGAGGCCCTGAATTCTTTCTCACGTGAGGTCCAAGAACCCTTTCTTGGGGTCTGGATCGGGACAAAACATTTTCTGGTAACAAAAACATTACAGATCTGGATCTAGGGGTCAGCCAAGGCCCCTCAAGAACCATGGTTGTCTCCATAGCCTGGTGTCTGCTGTGGTCATGTGTGATAGGGGAGGGTGATGGTGCTCGGTTAACTTCTCACTGGCCGTACTAACTTTACAGCAGAGGGTTGCAGCTTACCTCAAGAGCCAGCATGCCACTGTTCGCTGCACGCATCCTTCATTTAACGTGTCCTGCTCAAATCCTCTCGATGACCGTATGGGGTGGACACAGAAACAAGTGAGCAGCAGAAGCTCCGAGAACCTAGGACGCTTGTCTGATGGTGCAGGGCAGGTAAGTGGGGGTCTTGGGACTGAAATTCAGGTCTTCCACTTCCACTGCCTGTGTTCCCTCCACTGGAGGTTGCCACATATCGCAGCATGCGCACCTACCAGTCACCCAGGGAGCTGCAAAAACAGACTGCCAGAGCCATCCCTCAGCATCTGAGTCCATAGATGGGAGGCAGCCTGGGTATCTCTGTTTCTCCAAGAAAGCTCTGGCTTCAACCTATTTGACAGGGACTCACAGTAAGAATGTTTTACTCTGCTGCGTGGTAGACAACCAGGTATGCTACATTTGCAAATATAAGCAGCAAACCCAGGTAACTGAAAAAACATCCTTACAACATGCAAAACACTCCACTGTTTTCTTTGTTGTTCTATTGTATTTCATTTTTAAAATGCTGGTTGTGATCCACTGAATCAATGGCATAACCCACTAGTGAGTGTCCACCAGTTTGCAAACACTGACCTGGACCACTCTGAGGCCCAGGGCTGGAGTTCCCTGGCCTCCATCACACTGTCTCCCACTGTACTCAGAAACGGATGGTTGGCAGCTTAGTCGGGAATAATAGAAATGTGACCAGATACCCTAAGAATAATACAAAATCCTTTTTATTTTTCTTTCATACATAGTATCTCACTGTGGCTCATAAAATCCGTGTAGGGCATTAACTCCATTTTTCAGGGGTGTAAACTGAGGCTATTGGAGCAGACCTGCTCTGCCTACAGTTACAGAGCAGGGTTGTGGGGAGGGAAAGCTAGAACCCAGGCTTCTCTGGCACTGACAGTGCCTCTTCCATATTAGCATCTGGGTGGATGGAAGGCAGGAACTGATTTCCACAAGTAAAATCCTGCCTTTCTACCCACCTAAGCCCCTCCCTGCTCTGGCAGTGACAAAAGGACTGTCCTATTCGTATTTCGACTCTTTAATATGTAAGGTAGAATGCAGCTGCTAGGGTCTCAGTCAGCTCTTGCTAACAAAATCAAATCCACTGGCTTTCTCTGGCAGCCAGAGCCAGGACATGTAATCTACGGCTGCTTAACGGAGCAGCTTTCTGGTGAGGGGAGAAACCTGCAGTCCGTTTTAATTGTGGATAAACCATGCACTCCGGATACTCCAGGTGGGAAGAGAAAAATCCTAGATTTGGGTGTGAGACACATGGGGATTAGTGGCAGATAACTAAAATTCTTCCCTCTCTCCTATGCTAGCATGCATCAGCCCTGAGCGCTCCTCCAGGGACCTTCCGAGATGGGCAGAGCCAGGGAGATTCAGAGACAGGCACACTTTAAAAAACATATGGCTACAACTTGGTGTTGTTTCAATGGATGCGAAGCATCCCTGGTCAGGCGCAATTAATTTGGATTACATAAGAGCATTACACTGTCACTGTCCCTGAGTCCTGTACCACGTCCTCCCTGCACAGATTTCTGTTGATGGTGGGGGTGGATAGGATGGCTGTTCTCTGCCCTGATGCAATGACAGGATACAGCATTAGTCAGCTCCCACCCATGGGAGGGGAGGAGTTAATCCGCCAACACTGACCACAGATTCTGCGTGGAGAACAGTGGGAGATGCCAAAGAAATGTAAACAATGTCCCTGCCTCCGTTCCCTTTCTCATGGAAAGATGGCTCTGCCTGTCTTGTTCTCTGTTGCGTCACAGGCCTAGCAGGATGCCTGGCATGCATTAAGTGCTCAATAAATGTTGAATGAACAAATGCATAAAGAAACTCTTGCCACTAGCAGCATTTCCCAGAGTCTGTTCTGTGGAGTGTTTTTTTTTTGAGAGACGAGGTCATGCTATGATGTCCAGGCTAGACACTTGAACTTCTGACTCCTGGAAGGATTGCTCAAGCTCAAGGTTCCTCCCACCTCAGCCTCTGTTATTACCTGGGATCCCAGCCACATGCCGCAGTGCCCAGCTTGTGGAGTGTTGTTAGCTGTCATTTGGAAAAAAGGAGGGGGAGGGTGCTAACACTCCAATAGGCCTGTAGGCCTAGTTGACAAAGGTTTGTTTGTTGTAGATGTTATTAGAATCTTGGATGTGCCACCGGGCATTATGATCTCCTGGGGGTAAGCAAATCTTTTCTCAAGTTTATTTGGTGACAGACCTCCTTTTGTTTTTTTCTTTTCCTTTGAGAGGAAGTCTCCCTCTTGTCCCCCAGGCTGGAGTACAATGGCATGATCTTGGCTCACTGCAACCTCCACCTGCCGGGTTCAAGAGGTTCTCCTGCCTCAGCCTCCTGAGTAGCTGGAATTACAGGTGCCTGCCACCACACCTGGCTAATTTTTGTATTTTTAGTAGACACAGGATTTCACCATGTTGCCCAGGCTGGTCTTGAACTCCTGACCTCAGGTGATCCACCTGCCTTGGCCTCCAAAAGTGCTGGGATTACAGGTATGAACCACCACACCTGGCCGACAGACCTTTTTTTCTGGATTTTTTTCATAGGAATGGCGTCTTTGGGAAAAAGCTGTGTCAAATCCCCTATAAACTGGGGTCCTACTGCTCATCTCCCATCCACACTGCATGAATCAAGGGGTTAAGGGGAACAACAGAGCCAGGTTGAGATAAGGGGTAGTGGTGGGCTAGGCTCTTTCATTCCCTAGCCGCTGACTCCTACCTAGACCAGAAAAATGTCCAGTGACTTCATGTCATTCAATTTTGTTTGGAAAGCTCAAGAATTCTAGAAGCTGAGAATGGTGGACCCAGGGCTCAATGTTGTGTCTGTAATTTTTTTCACATGCCTGTGTCTGGCTTCTTCCTGTGCTGGGAGGTTAAGCTTGGAGCAGACAGCCCCTATCAGAAGGCTCGGATAGGCCCTCTGCTCCAGGAAGGCCTGGCATCTGACTGAGTGGCTGCTGTGCGGTTGATCAGAGCCTAGACAGGTCTTGAAGGTGGAGTACTTGCTCATGAGAGGTGGGCCAGGGCCAAGCTGAAGCTCACTGACAGACGAGAGACTACTTTACCTGAACGAAGCTAAACTCCCTCCAGTTGAGTGAGTTTGCAATGGACGGCAGTGAGGTCACGGCCAGCAGGGACAGTGTGCCGAGGGCCAGCACTCCCAGGGAGAGGTAGATCTCCATCCGCCAGACCTCCTCCTCCACCCAGAGGTGGCTCTTGTTGGCCAAGACCTGACATGGATGGAAGGAAAACCATGAACACTGGCAAAGGCTGTTGCTCTGGTCGGGCAATGATGAAGGACACGAGAAAGACAATACGGCGGACACTCATGCTCCACCTGCCACTCCCTGGCTCTGTGATGAGCGTTTCTTGGGCACTAACTAATCAAATCCTCAAAACCACCCCATGAAGTAGAGATCACTATTATTCCACTTTAGAGATGGACGAAATGAGATACAAAGATCAAGTCACTTTTCCAAGGTCACACGTAGCTAACAGATGCAGAGCTGGGATCAGGACCTACGCAGTCTGGCGCCATGACCGGGTCTCCTGGGTCTTTCACACATCAGCCAATCAGAACAGTCACAGCAGCTGAGTAAGGAGTCAACCAGAAATACAGCTCATAGGCATGGCTCCACTGCAGGGTTTTCTGGCCCCAAAAATCCCAGGACAGGAGAGAGGAGCTCTCCTAGCTCTGAATCCCCTCAGCCAATGAACTCACACCTTCACTGGCTGCTTCCCTTTCCAGCCTGTCTTATCCTGAGCCCTCTATCTGCCTGGGCCCCCACGCTGCCCCTGTCACTGGCTCATACCCAGGACATACAAAGACACATGCAGACACTGACTCCCCAACATTTCCTGACCCAAAGCTCTCAGCCTCCCCTCTTCCTACCCAGCTCTCTGCTTCTGCCTGGGGCACACAGCCTGGGCTCAACTTTGCCAGGTAAGAGAGACTGATGGCCATTCACCAAGCAGTTTGGCGAGCACTTAGGAAGCACCTACTGTGTGCCAGGCCCTGGGCTACAGAAAATAAAGATACCAGCTCTCATCCTGCCCTCACAGAGATCTGAGGCTCTCACCAAGCTGAGGACACATAAACTGGGGAGCCCTCATGAACCTGGAGATTTCTACCCCTTCTCTCCCCACCTTGCAGCTGACCTCCCTCCTAGCTACTCACTCACATAGTGCCCTCACGAGGAAGAACTTTTATCAAGGTGCAACTAGACCAGGTATTAGAGTTCCTGGAAGTCAAGGTGTTCTCTGCGAAACACTGAAATGCTTTAATTCTATAATATCAGCAGAGCAAGGAACAGTATTTCCATTAGAAAATGTGACTACACTTTAATAGGCAGCCTCTCCAAACAGAATGACTCATACAGGTTTTTTGAGAAATAATTTCTGCAGCAGAAAAAAAAATAACATGAGCTCAGTTACCAGATAAAATATTAAAAGTGGATTCACTGGGCTGAGCAAAATGGTTGTAAAGCTTGTAAGAGAAGTTTTAAAGAAACAGAGAAAATGCCATCCCTTGGGCACTTTTCCTGCAATTTGTGAAAAATGATTGCCTGTTAGGGCAGGTCTGGCTCACTTTGGTGACTTTAAGCCACTAAGGGATGAGGAGTCCGGGGTCCCAGCCTCTTGTTTTGACCACCAGTGGCATGTGACTCTGACAAGTCTGACTCTGGGCCTCAGTTTCTCTACCTAGGAGGTTTGGATGAGATCATGTCTGAAATTCTCTTGATTTTGCCTGTGTGCCTGCTGTGGTTGAAGTCACCAGTAGCTGGAAAGACATGCAGGGGGCAGAGAGGTCTCCTCCGTACCTCTGCCCAAAGAAGTCTTACTCACACCTCGCAGCATGAATTGAGTACGTCATCTCTGCGCTGGAAGTTGTTTGTTCTTCATTAGTCATTCCTCTCTGTGTCTCAGGAAGATCGGGCAGTTAATGTCACAAGTCAGAGTTTGGATGATTACACACATACCACATTTGCTTGCAAAATGTCTTGTTTTTTTCCTTTAATATTTCCACTCTGCAGTGACGGTGGGAAGGGAGGGATGATGTGGGCAAGGGAGAAGTGAATGGCGAAGACCCGCATGAGGATTGAAACTAAGTCAGCCTTAGGAGTCCATGAGATTCTCGGCCAGCCTGTTAAACCACGGCGCTGTGCGCAGAGCTCCCTGGTGACCAGTGCCACACATGGCTGACTGGAATGGAGGTGTAACAGCTCCCCTAATAAGTCTCTATGTTTAGAGATGAACAAGTTCGCCACCTCGAGAAGGCCAAGGAGAATGGTCATCAACAAGAGATGAAAGACGGCATTCAGGTGTGGGATTTCCCTCTAGGTTGCAGGCCAGACACTGAAGGACCAGTGAGGCTGCAGCATCAGCCCCTCTCCATGACTTCACAGCAGGTGATGGATGGGAAGAGAGTGGTACTGACCTGCTGCCTGCCAGACTCAGAGGAGGTGTGGCAGGGTGTGGAAGGGCAATCTGGGGGCACAGAGACCTGGATTCTGACGCCAATGCTGCCACTGGTGGGCTGTCATGAGACCCTGGACAGTCCCTTTCCTGGCTCATAGCATCATTGTGTCTTGCTGTGTTACTGAAGGACTAAACAGATTACTTTTGTGGAATGAGTAGCAGGAGACTGGTCCACAGTGGGCACTTAATGTAATGAATGGCTGTTGTTCTTAGTGGCGATGAGGCAGTTAGACTGGTTCTTCCTCCAAGCTCTACGTGCACTCCTCTTAAGATGCCTGGTGTTGGCTTTGTGGGGGCCAGTTTAAATATCAGTCACTCAGTGAACATGGACTGTGAACCTGTGTTAGGAATCATGGACCCCGAGGTATGGAAGACCTAGTCATGGACCTCTGAGTCGGGTATGAAGTGGTGTGTAAGAAAAATAATAGACGTGTTTATAAAATACAACAGATTACAGAGGCAGGTCTGGAGAATTAAGGGGATAGTCTGGGGAGCTTAACAGAAGTAGGGTTTGGAAGGAGAAATAAGAGTTTGCAGGCTGTCAAGGTGTCCCAGGGTGGGTATTCCAAGCCAAGAGGAATGAGCTCTGTCCATTTAGAGGATAGTACGGGACCCAAGTGTTGACACGTCACAGGAGAAGGGGAGATGGTGAGGCTTTGGAGGGAGTATAGCCACATAGTGAGAGTTCTGCATTATCCCAAGGACATGGGAGTCACTGAATCTTTTCAGCAGCGACATGGTCAGATGAGAGTTTCAGCCATGTGCAGATGTAGCTTGGAGTGAAGGCAATAGGAGAACAGTGTGTAGGTTAAACATTTCTTTGATCTTTGATTTTGATATTAAAATGTGTATCTTGAGGGAATACACAAGCAAATCCAAACGCCCTATACAAATATCAGTTATTGTTAGTAATAGCACTGTCTGTTAACACGGTCTCAAAGGTTTTCTCTACAGCTGGGATACAGTGTTACCTCCTAATCTATAGACTCAGGGCTGGAAGGAAATCTTGGAGGAGTTTCTTGTGGCTGAACTAATGTGCTCCCTTGACCCAAAGGGCCCAGTAGGCAGCCAGGGTGGTGAGTGGCCATGTGGGGACACTGTGGTGAAGTGCCCACAGGCTGGCAGTGGGCCTGAGCTGCCCAGGAGGTCCTGCTGTTGGGGGCTGAAGACAGAACAGCCTGAGGTACCCAGGCCCAGAACTGAGGGCATGGTTTACCACAGACCATCCAGCATCTGCTTGGATGTCTCCAGGCGTGGCCACCTCCCCACATCTGGGCCGCTGTGTGTCAATCCCCCGCCTCTCTCTGACCATCCCCCCGATATACCCACATCAGCCCTGGTTCTGCCCTCAAGAACTCTGCAGAACAAGTGTAAGCCCCTTTGCATGAGAGGCCTTCCGTGTCTCTGACTGATCTCATTGTGCGGGAGGGACGGTTGCCTGGCAACCTTACCAGGGTCTGCAGCCCTAAAGAGCTTTGGGACTTGGGGAAAATTACCTTGCATGCGCCCCTCTGTGCCCCGGTATTTGCATCAGGGCAAAAGTGGGTTAACAGGATATCAGGAAGAGCCTTGGCAGGGCGGAGAATTTAGACAAAGGCAGTTGGAGGGTGGCAGCGGAGGGAGGGAGCAGTGATGTGTCTTGTGCTCTCGGGGGTACTGGGGATCATTACTGTTTTTCCCACTGCCACTGGAAGCACCTGCCAGCTCAGGGGAGAGGGCTCCCACATACAGGGGGTGGGTTTCTCCAGGCAGATCTGCCCCCTCCTGGGCAGCAACATTGTACCAGTCCCTGAGGAGCTGGCAGAGCCTCCTGCCAAGGGGCTGGCTCTTTGTAGAAGTCAGTAAGAAAATATCATCAAAGAGCATTGCAAACATTAGCACTAGGAGAGAGCTTGATCTAACATCAGGACCCTGAGGACAAAAGAGAGGCGGTGACTGGCTCAGGGTCAGGATCTTTGTTCCAGTCAGCGACAGCCGGCCTTCAGGTCTTCACACCACGTCACACCAGCTGAGTCAAGGATCCAGACTGTCTGGTCTTCCTTACTCCTTTCTGTGGCCCCAAGGCCTTGCAGAGTAGGTACTCAGTGAATGAGTGAATGAATAACCTAGTTCTGAAATCATGTACTCAACTGTTAATCTGTAGAAAGCAGCGTGGGTATAAGCATGGATCTGGAAAATAGCTGGATCTGAATCCTGACTCCACTACTTACTGGCTGTGTGACTTTGGCTAAGTTACTTAACCCCTCTGTGCCTCAGATTTCTCATCTCTGAAATAAGGATAGAATAGCACCTGCCCTACATGGATGAGATAAAGTTAAATGATTTCACAGTGATGTATGAAGCTCTTAGAATGGTTCCTGGAACACAGCAAGCTCTCGTTAAGGGTTCATGACTATGATTTCTTCCTTTCCTCTCATTTCCGTCAAGCATCTTGCTTTCCTGCCTGAAGTCTGGGGTTCTTCCTTTGTCTTAGGAAAGTCTGAGCCCACAGATGCAATGACGCTGGTGTCTGTGGGTGGCGAAGGATGAGGGCAGTTGAGTAGCTGCCGGCAGAGAAGCAGCAACCCTGACAGTGAGTAGGGGCTGAGGTCTGTGGTTCTTGGGAGGTGCCCAGCCCTGCTTCCCAGTCCTGCCAATCCCCCATCCTCGGAGGGGATGGTGCTGTGCTATGTGATTAGGGGAGGTCCCAGCCTCACCAAGGTCCCTGCATCCCAAGCGGGAGCAGGAGCTGTAGGGGCCACCAGGCTGGAACAAGAGGTGGATGAGAAGTATCTCACCAGCACCTGGGCCAAGCCATGTTGGGTTACTAGCGTCCCAGAGTGGGCAGGACCTATGCACCAACAAGCCCCAGGGCTGGGCACTGGAGGTGGAATTTAATTGGAGAAAGTAAAGAAAGGCAGTGTTGCTTGAAGATGTAAGCTTGGGACTAAGAATCAAGCCCCGTGAGCTTGTGGACCAGGAGAAAGCTTTAGGAGCCTGTTTCTGTGGGCACAGGTGCCAGATGCACTTCGCAGATTCCACTTCGCAGGAATCCTGCTGGCAAACGACTGCCATATGGATTTTCTAAATGAATGGTTAATGCCACCCCCAGTAAAAAACAAACAAGAGCAACAACAAACCCAAACCTGGAGCGCTCGCTCCTGCAGCCTTTCCCATCTCAGGTGCTCCAACCCAAGCCTCAGAGTCATCCTTGACCACCGTCCAAAACCCTAGGCCCGTTCCAGCAGCAAATTCTTGCACTCCAGCTTCACGTATGCCTTCAGGACCTCCTTGCTCCTCCACTGCGCCCACCTCCTCCAGCCTCTACTGCCTCAAATCTGGGCACTGGCATGGCCTCCTCGCTGGTCCCAGCAGCTGCCTTTGACCCCCCTACAGTCTATTCTCAGCCAAAACCCAGAGAGAACTGCTTAAAATGTCAGGCAGATCAATGCCTAAATTCCAACCTTCACTGGCTCCCTATTTCACTCAGAGCCTAAGGCTGAAGCCCTTTCTGGTCTGGCCTTGACCTCACGGGCCTCACCTGCCACCTACTCCTTGTTCAGCTCCAGCCACATGGGCCACTTGGCTACTCTTCCAGTGTGCCAGGCACACTTCTGCCCGAGGAGTCTGCCCCGTGGCCTGCAATATCACCCCAGCGGGCCGCCAGCTTCTCTTCCCTCCTTCTTGCTCTGCTCACATAGCACTCACTCTGCAAGGCCTCCTGGGCCATCTTCAAAACTGCACCCCCACTGTCCATCCCTGCTTTTCTTTGCCCCTTAGCACTCCTGACCCTCTTCAACGCCCGTTATAACTCACTGCTGTATTTTGTTTCAGTCTGCCCCAACTGGGTTGTACCTCCGGGGGCAGGAATTTTCATCTGCTTTGTTCACTAATACTCAAATTCTTGGGCAGGACATGGGTGCTGCCCTATCAGAACAGAATCTGCAGTTGGCAACTGGTGAGGCTGCACCCGTGGGTATCGGCTACACCTGGTTGGTGGAGGGCCCTGGACAGGCACGTGCTGAATGTCACAGGGAGGAAGGGCGTGGGGTTGGTACCTGCTTGACCGCCAGGTTGACCAGGTCGTAGCGGTGAGAGCGGCGCAGTGGCAAGCAGAAGCTGTAGAGTGCGTGCAGGGCGGCGCAGAAGAAGCTGAGCAGCCCGATCTGCTTGCGGTGCTGCAGCCAGTGGTCCAGCCAGTCGGGGAAGCGGTGGTACTTGGTGCCGCGCCTCAGCTGCAGGGTGGCCGCCAGCACGCCAGGCAAGTACACCAGCGACAGCAGCACATAGGCCACGCACGGCAGCGTGGTGTTGACCACGGACACGGGCAGCTTGAAGAACTTGTTCTTGCTCTCCTGCACGTAGGGCTGCAGCACATCCCGAACAAAGTTGTAGGCATAGAAGCAGATGAAGAGCCCCAGGGCCAGCAGGGTGGGCACCTTCCAGGCTGGGAGGAGGCGCAGGGGCATGGCCTCCATTTCCCGGGCTGAGGCCAGGGATCCCATGTCCACAGGCATGAAGCCCATGGTGATTGCCATCTCTGAGACAGCACGCTTGGCTTCTGGCTGGTCACTGCAGATGGGCACCTGCAGGAGGAAGAGTGGGGAAGTCAGATGGGGTCACAAGCCACTGGAGTGGGCAGGGCCTCACTGAGCAGCTGGGGAAACTGAGGGCCAGAGGGGCGGGGACTTGTCCAAGTGAGCTGCCAGTCAATGGTATAGGTGGGAGCCAATGGGGCTCTGGCCCCCAGGCCAGGGGTCTTTTCTCTGCCTCCCGGGTCTCCCAGCCTCTGGCCCAGCTGCCCAGCCAAGTCAACTACTCAAGGAGAGAAGCTGCGGACAGTAAGCATCTTGCCCAGCTCATGGACATCAGCAGCCACAAGCAAAATGGTCATCCAGGCAGTCCCCATGGGCCCCTGGAATGGCTGCCTCCAAGACCGTGGCCTGCCCTGAGAGCTGCCCAGCAGAAGAGTTTTGTGTTTGGTGCAGGATGTGCAGCTGTGGCTGCAGCCCCATCCCTCAGTTAGGAATCGCACCCCTTGATGATGTCCCTCAGCTCCACAGAGCCCTCGGCCAGTGCATAAGGCCTTCTTCCACAAGCCAGCCACAGCCTACCCTCTCCACCTTGAAGCCACTGCTCTGGCCCATGAGGTCCCACTGCAGGGACATGGGAGTCTTCAGATCCTAAAGCACTAGTGGGCTTTGCTGACACTGCATTGGTCAGTCTAGTCTCAAAACACAGACTGAACACTACTCTGCGCTGGGCTTAACATACATGATCTCTCAGCCTTGCCATGAGCCCACAGGTAGGTACTATTGTCCTCATTTTTCAGATGAGAAAACAGAGGTCTAGGAGCATTGTTTCTTATCTCTGCACCTTTTCAGATTGTTCCTTCAGTCTGGAATGCAATCCCGGCTCCCTGAGCCTGACAGCATGAGGTGGGCCCAGGTCAAAGCCCTCCTCGAAGTCTTCTCCAGCCAGCCTGCTTGCTCTGTTCCCTCCAGGCCCTGCACCCAACACTCCCCACTTTTCCTCCTGGTCGCCCCATGATGCAGCCTGCATTTATGGCCCTGTAGTCAGGTGTGGCTGGGCACCTTTAAACTGTCCCATAGAGCCTGGCACCTGGGCTGGACTTATTGGTGGGAGTTCTTACGCACATGGAGTCTGGCATTCTTTTCACCAAGAAAATGCAGGTGGCCTTTTAGCATTAAAAACCACCTTATCTTGGTAAGAGCTCCTTGTGTCAAGAAATGTATGCAGCTCTAGCTGTTCCATGAAGCTGTTAGCCAGCCCCAGAAAAGCTGGCTGTTGACTTTTCTGAGAAATCAGTTCTTGGAAGCCCTTAGAATAAATAAGATAAAGTTTGAGACATGACTGCCTTCCTCAGGGCTTGGCACATAAGTGTGTTACTTTCCCCCTTCTGAGTCCAATTCTGAGAGCCAAGTCTCTTTCTTTCTTGGCTCCAAATAGAAAAAGTCAACAAGCTTTTCCTCCTTTCCTTCTTGGAAACCCAGTTATTGTAGCAGAAAAAACATAGGTTTCAGATCCGTATGAACTGGGTTCAAACCCCAGCTCACCAGCTATGGGATTTTGAGTAAGATCATTAATATCTTTGAGCCTCAGTTTCCTGTTCCGTAAAATGGAATTTTGCAGTCATGCAAGATTAGCTACGATAATATACCAAAAAAGGCCTGGCATGCTGGCAGCCCTCAGTGAAAATTAGCCATTTATATTTATTGTTATGATGGATATTATTCCCCCAGAACCTACCTGCCTGTTACCATCCCTTGGGCCAGCTTGCAGGGTCCAGGCAGAAATGACATTGAAGGCCTTGACCACTGTGCAGGTGGGGAAGAGGGAGGCCAGGTACTCAGCATTGGACTCGCGATGCTGAAGGTGCTCTTGCTCTGTGGGGTTGCTCACATCCACCAGGATCTTGCCAGCTAGCTGGTCGCTGAGACTGCACAGTGAAGAGTAGTGCTCCCGGAACACGGCCACAAAGATGACCTCCGGGGAGCTCACTGCTTCCTCCTGGAAAGTCACTTGGGCCGCTGAGGGGAACAGCCCAGCTGTGCGTTTGGGGTTGCGGCTCCCCACCACCACTTTGAAGCCAGAGCTCACCAGACGTGTGGCCAGGGAACGGGCAAAGTCCCCACTACCCAGGATGCCCACTTTGGGGGCCTCATCGGGGACCTTGGCAAGGCTGGTATCACTGTCCACCAGGTGGAGGCTGATCAGTGGCTTGTCCATCTCTCTTGACATTTTGGTGGCTGAAAGAGAAGTCAGGAACCTGGTCAGCAGAGGGCTTCTGGACTGCCCCTTCTGCCACCCCCCTCCTCTTGTACATTGTAGCAACACAGCAGTCAGACATTCACCCAGCAGGTGTTTCCCAAGTGCTACCATGTGTGGGCACCAGGGGGACAAGCTGAGCATGACCCAGCCCCTTCCCTGGGGAGAGCACAGACTCAGGAAGAGCAGGGAGAAGGACTTCTGCCCTCCATTTATTGTCCTTCACGCTGAATTATTTCCTCAGGAAAAACTGGCAGAGTTGAGTGCTGGGGAAGGGGACTCTGAAATTTCCATGACTAATGTGATGCAGTGCCATACTTCTTTTTAAAAGGATTATACAGTGGACAGTGTCACTAGCCAGGAGTGACTGTGTAAACCCAACCTCACCATTGCTGGGTGTTATCTTTGACAACCAGGAAGGGTGAGCATGTCCCTATGCTTGTCTACATTTTGCATCTTGGAACAGCTCTTCTTCTGCTCTTCCTGAAGGATGGTGAACAGCTCGAGGGCAGGACCTCATCTCACCTGACTTTGGACCTCACTGTGTATCATAGCCTGGCACAGAAGGGGTGCTCAGTGTTTACTGAATGAATGAATGAATGAATGAACACCGAGCCTGGCTCTCTGAGGGCAGGACTGGAGAGACATGACAATGAATGGGCCCCTGAGATAGGGGGGTGCCCTGCGATCTTTGCTGAACCTGAGATATGAGTGGATATGGAAGAAATCCTGGGCTGGGCCCAGGAGTCTACAGTAAACTTGGATGAGAAAATCATTATCTATTATTACTAACTTCTAACCAAAATTTGCTATTTCCATGTAGGGCAACGTAATTTTTCATTAATACTGATCAAGTTCATATCATAAATTTACCTGTAAATAATTTCTCCTAATGCTGTTTAAATTCAGCGCAAATTTTAAAGCCATGCTAGCCAGATGCAGTGGCTCACACCTGTAATCTTACCACTTTAGATCAAGGCAGGAGAATTGCTTGAGGTCAGGAGTTCAAGACCAGCCTAGGCCACATAAGGAGGTTCTGTCTCTAAAGAAATAATTTAAAAAATTAGCCAAGCACAGTGGCTCACGCGTGTAGTCCCAGCTACTCAGGAGACTGAGGCAGGAGTATTGCTTGAGCCCAGGAGTTGAAGACTGCAGTGATTGTACCACTGAACTCCAGCTTGGGTGACAGAGCAAGACTATCTCAAAATAATAATAAAAATAATGTAAAGATAAAATTATGGTAGACATTAGGCCTGCTACTAGATCTTGTCATTTAATATGCTAATAAAGAGGCATGCATACTGCTACTATAATCTTTTTTGAAAAATGTTTTCACCGTGCTTCCATATATCATGTTTCCTTTGTAACCCGAGGTTATTTTATTCGATGCATGTAAGAAGATTATTCTGAGCAGAAGTCCACAGGCTTTACTAGCCTACAGTTCCACAGGGCTCAGTAACTCCTGTCCTCAAGCAGTGGAGCAGCTGGAATAGCTTTCAACACCCTGCACTCTTCCCACTTTTCCACAACACTCTCCTGGAACCTCTGGACACCTGACCAGGTGAGGGGGTGAGTCCAGGGACTGATGAAAAGGTGGGGCAGGGGATCCAGGAGGTGGGACCTGGCTCTGCTATGAACCAGCTGTGTGTCTTTAAACAAGTCTGTGTGCCTCTCTGGGCTCTAGCTTCCATCTTTGTCAATGGAGATCAAAATGTCTGCTCTCAGATGACAAACAATGCAATCTTAAGAGGTTTTTGAAAGTGTGATTGTTCCTTTTACAAGGCAGCAGTGGCAGCTCCTATCAGCAGGATGCCTACCAGGCACCGTCGCTGCTGTCAGGCCTTTTCTCCGGTGATGGCCCTCTGGTTTCCACAAGAACCCCAGGAAGTAGATCCAGTTATCACCCCCACTTTACAGAGGAGGGAACTGAGGCTCAGAGGGGCTGAAGAACTTGCTTCAGGCAGCACAGATGATTGAGGGAAGGAAGAGCAGGACGCAGGTGCATCTGCCTCTGCAATCAGAGCTTCACTCCTCTTACTGCACAGACAGAAGAGCGAGCTGTCCGGAGATGACCCTGATAGCAGCGGAGCTGGGACCACACTGGCTGGGTAAAATGAGAACTCTAACTACACCTCTCTAAAGGCTGTTTGAGGATGAAATGAGTTAATATGTGTAGAAACGCAGGGCTCTTTTTTGACTGGTATGTATGCACTTGTGTTTCCTAATCTTGTATGCACGTGTGCTTGTATGCACACGTGTGTGTGTGCACGTCCTATTCTTGTACACATGTGTGTTGTGTGTACTATTCTCTAACTTCTTCATGGACAGTGGCCATGTTCAAGTCTTCTGCCCTCCTGCCTCCTGGTGCTCTGCATGAACCCTACTGCTGAGGGCTGGCAGGGGCTGGGGGCAGGACAGGAGGTACACGTTCTGGAAGTCCCAGAGGCCTGTCCCTGTGGGCTGAGGTGAGGGTGTGACTAACCCTGTTTGGGCTCTGGTTCTTTGAGGGTTCTATTTATAGAACTGGAGAGGGAGCAGACAGGGATCAGATTGCGGCTCTGTGGGCTGAGGCCTGTCTCCTGCACGAAGACCTGCCCACCTCCCTGCAAAGCTGTGGATAGAACTGCTTGGAGGCTCAGGTGTCCTGGTCCCCTCTGGGTCTCTGCCCAGGGTTGTCTGTCACCTCCCTCTTCCTGGCAGGGCTACAGCCTGTGTTTATGGCTGGGAGCCACGCCTGGCCCATGGGCCTGCCTGCCAGCTCATGTCTGCTATTGTGCAGGCCACTAATGGTTAGTGGCATGACATCCATAACCATGTGTCCTCTTCTTCAGGACACCAACCACCTTTCAGACATGGGTGGCCAGGGCAGTCTATGGCTACGGAGAGTTTGCTATGAGGTTGGTGTGGGTGGGGGTGCTGGGGTCACCGGCAATTAGAGGCTGGCTGTGGCACCCTGCAGCCAGATGGAGGAGGGACAGCCTGTAGGCCAAGAACAGGGTCCCTCGGATGTCCCCCATGTGGGGGCTGACTGAGCAAGGAGAGAGAAAATAACCCAGTTCTTGTCCTCAAGCAGCCCACACTTATCTTCAATTTTTAAAAATATTTATTTATTTTTGAGATAGAGTTTCACTCTGTCACCAGGAGTGCAGTGGCAAAATCTCAGCTCACTGAAACCTCTGCCTCCTGGGTTCAAGCAATTCTCCTGTCTCAGCCTACCAAGTAGCTGGGACTACAGGTGCATGCCAACACTTTAATTAAATTGGCTAATTATTGTCAATTAAAAACAATTTTTTAAATCTGGTCAGTAAAATTACACTTGGGGGCACACATTCCTATTATTGCTCTATTTCTTTATAAGTAAAATACATTTAAAATGTATTGCAGTGGTGCCCTATAATGTTGTATGTGGTATAAATTACATGTAAACATATGTAGATGCAAGGGAGGAGGCTCTGTATGTCCTCCCTGCTTTCAGAGAATGAACCTTTACAAGCCCCGGGGAGGTCCACACACACCCTGGAGACCTTTGACTCGTGGGAGGGCCGGGCAGCAGACCGAAGTGTTCAAGGTCTCCTGTCAAGGGCACTGACTTCGGAGACAGCAGGGACTGAGAGGATTCCTGCAGGAGGTGGGCCTGAGCTGAGCCTTGACAGATTGAGTGAGTCCAAGAAAAGCACTTCAGAAAGAGGGGCCCGCATTGAGCAAAGGGGAGCCAAGATGGGCTGGAGCGCAGAGACCCGTCAACAGTGCGTGTTCCTGGGTGAATGATACATGCCCACAGCCAGCACCAGGGCTGAGCAAGCCGCAGGTGAAAACACAAATTCTTGCACACAGCCTGGCCAATATGGTGGTACCCATCTCTACTAAAATACAAAAATTAGCAGGGTGTGATGGCACGTGCCTGTAATCCCAGCTACTCCGGAGTCTGAGGCAGGAGAATCACTTGAACCCGGGAGGTGGAGATTGCAGTGAGCCAAGATCGCGCCACTGCACTCCAGCCTGGGCGACAGAGTGAGACTCCATCTCAAACAAACAAACAAAAACAAAAAACAAATTCTTGCATGGAACTCTTTTCTAGACTGAAAACCTGCAGAGAGGGAGGAAGGAAAGACCTGGGTCTGGGGTCTACCCTGAGTATCTTCTCACGTCAGTCAGAAGTACTGGACACATCAGTTAGAAACAGTCTCTAGCCTGTTTCTTCATCTGTAAAATGAAAATACCAATTTTCCCTCAAGAGCATGAAGTAGCCAAGGGCTGTATATACCCAAGGCACTGCTCTGTGGCTGGGATGTTTCTGGGAGTTCCTCCCCTGTGGTCTTTCTTTTCATGTGCTCATTGTCCACCCCCCACCCCACTTCCCTGAGCGTTGGGAGGGCAAGATGGCTGTGCTTTGTTCCAGGTGCACCCAGAACCCTACACCATGCCTAGCACACTGCAGAGGTTCTGTGCATCTCTCTGACTGTACACCACTGAAGACTATATTGCCTCTGGGGGCAGAAATCCTTCCAAAATGCCGAACAGAATCAGATCCTCATCCGGCACCACAGGGATCACTCCAACCAGCCTGGGCTTCATGTTATGTTTTCACAGAGCCTTTGAATAGGCTCTCTGCCTCTTCTCTCATCATCAGGACTTTGCCAGCATGGTCTCTCTGCCTCCTTGCCTCTTAAAGGCCCCCAGGTCCTGCTAATTTGCTCCTGACAAGCAATCGAGAGAGTGCAACATCAAGAGAGTGAAATGCCAACTCAGAATGGAGAAGAGTTTTGCAAACCATGTATCTGATAAGGGATTTGTTTCTAAATTTCTGAAGAACTCTTACACCTCAGTATAAAGTGGGCAAAGGACTGGAAAAGATACTTCTCCAAAAAAGGTATACAAATGCACATGAGAAGATGTTCAGCATCATGAGCCCTCAGGGAAATGCAAATGAAAACCACAATGAGATCCCACTTCACACCCACTAGGATGGCTACAATGATAA